CTGGTGAATTAAGGTAAACACAAAAAAGGCCTACATTAATTCCAGTATAAGAAGAGCAAGTGAGCCAAGGGAAAGTGAGAAGTAGAGAGAAAAGAAATAATACGATTCATGTTAACAAAGAGGGAACAGAATCAATTTCTCCTGTGGAGAAACATGATGGCTAAAGCAAGGTTCTGATAAAAAGACATGATTTAATTACAAAGATGATTTTTCTGCTAGTAATTCTGCCTACCAAGTTGTATAGTATATATTGACATTTCCAAATAGATTGTGTATCAGTGAGAACATTTAAATCCAGCCTTTACCATTTTATACAATTTTTAAAGATATTCAATTTTATCAAATAAGTAGAAACCCAGTGCACAAAATTCTTGCACAGGGGAGGGGCCTCTCAGCTTGGCCTGCTCCCTCTTACAGTCCAGGAGCCCTCAGAGGATGTCCGACTGATGGCTTAGGCTCACTCCTCACGGGTCTAAGCCATTAGTCAGACATCCTTAGTGCTGCGTGGAGGCGGGAGAGGCTCCCGCCACTGCTGCTGCACTCACCAGCCACGAGCCTGGCTTCTGGCTGAGCAGTGCTCCCCCGGTGGGAATGCACTGACTACCAGGGAGCAGTTCCTGTATTGAGTGTCTGCCCCCTGGTTATTAGTGCACATCATAGCAACTGTTTGTTCTGCCATTCGGTCAACTAGCATATTAGCCTTTTATTATATAGCATGTGTAAATTCCCCACATATAATTTTGTGATTAATATTCTGAGGTTAAGAAACAGGTCCAAGTACCTAAAATACCTAAAATACAATAAACACTTTATTAGGGTATGAGAACCTATCTTGTCTTTATGGGTACCTATTAAAAATGCTTGATTTCCTCAGATGTAACAGCATTTTACTGAAGGTCCACAAATCATTACTGGGTGTTAAGAAAATCCAACATAGTTCTTGGCCTGTCTATGGTAGATCTTAAATATTTGTTAACCAATAATGTAACCATGCTGAGAAAAACAACAGTAATTGCTTGGATCAGTACTTCTAGGAGATTTCTTTTTATTTCATTTTGTGTAACTGCGATTCATTTACCACAGTTACCATTTCATACTCCACAGGCCAGCACTTGAACTGGCCTCTTTTAGTGATCTCCATTGTTGCCATATGACTTTAAAAAAAGGTTTTATTTTTATAGTGTTAGTGGGAATATAAAAGTGGTATAGTCTCTTTGGAAATCAATTTGCTAAATCTATTAATGAAACAAAATATGGCCTTTAATTAAGCAATTCAACTTCTAGAAACTTATACCTGCACAAAGTAGAATAGACAAAGTTGACTGAACAAGGATAGTCTAGGCTGTATTGTTTATGAACTGAAAAACTGGCAATAACCTAAATGTTCATAGGGAGGGCTACATGAATTATGATACATCTAGCTGATGGAATTCTCTGCAGACATTTTTTTTTAAAGAATAATGTAGAGTTTCTATATTGCAACAGAAAGGCCTTCAAGGAGTATTACGTGAAAAGAGAAAGGTTGAATGATAATAATTAAAATAATAGTAATTATTATAAAGTGTGTACTATGTTTTAAGTACTTTACCATTATTATCCCATTTAATTCTCATTACCACCTTGAGGTGCATACTATTGTTATCTCATTTTACAGATGAGGAAACTGAAGCACAATAATATCAAGTGGCTTGCCCAAGGTTGTAAAATTAGTGTCAGAGGCAGTGTCTGGTTTGAGAATAGTGTTCTTACCTAGTTCTTTCCATGTATGTTAAGAAATGAAAATACATGTAAGTATTTTTGTGTAGGGATGTGTATGTATATGTGTTCATATATGCACAGAAAATGGCTCTAAGCATAGCTTCTTAACTTCTAGCAATTGCTTTCTCTAAGAAGCGTTTGGGGTGGGAAAGGAAGAGGAGAAGATACTTACATGATATGTCTTTTTTGCTTGTTTGCTTTTGTTACGAGGAATATTAATCCTATATAATAAAAGGCTAATATGCAAATAGACCAAATAACTGAATGACTAGTCGCTATGATATGCACTGACCACCAGGGGGCAGATGTTCAACACAGAAATTGCCCCTGGTGATCAGTACGCTCTCACAGGGGGAGCACCACTCAGCCAAAAGCTGGGCTCACCATGCTATGCATGGTGAGCACAGCAGCAGTAGCCATCTGTTGGACATCCCTTGAGGGCCTCCGGACTACAAGGGGGTGCAGGCCAGGCTGAGGAACAGACCTCCCCCCCTCCCACACACACACCAGTGCACAGATCTTGTGTACCAGGCCTCTAATATTTTATAATCTTCTTTTCACAAGGGATGTTTCTCAAAATGTAACTCTCTAGTTATTTTCCTTCTGTTGCTAGCAGTTAAAGAAATTTGGCCATTTTCCTCACTATTAAAACATTCTATCATTCATTGGTTCACTTAATACAAATATCTAAACTATCCTAGTTGTCCCTGTCTTTCCCAGTTCTCAAGAAGTTCACTAGCCGAAACCGGTTTGGCTCAGTGGACAGAGCATCAGCCTGCAGACTGAAAGGTCCCAGGTTCGAGTCTGGTCAAGGGCATGTACCTTGTTGCGGGCACATCCCCAGTAGGAGGTGTGCAAGAGGCAGCTGATCGATGATTCTCTCTCATCGATGTTTCTAACTCTCTACACCTCTCTCTTCCTCTCTGTAAAAAATCAACTATATATATATATATATATATATATATATATATATATATATATTTTTTTTTTTTTTTTTAAAGTTCACTGTCTAGTGAAACAGATTGACATATAAACATGTAATTCCAGAGCCTCTATAAAGGGGCCACACAAAGATGGGGTAGAAGGGGCACAAAGAAGAGATGTCAATTCTGTGGAGAGCAGTGAGAAGGAAGGCACCCAGAGAGGAAATAATGTTTTGCCTAAATACTGAATGAAAAGTAAAGGTAATTCAGGAGACAGGGGAGGGAGAGAGAGAAAAGGCATCCCAGATGGAGGGAATAATGGGAGTAAACACAAAAGTAAAGACACCGGAACCCACCTTGTTCTTTAGGGGATGGGTGTGGTTTGACTTAGCTGCAGCTTAGCAGGAGAAACATGAGCAGTGCCTGCCTCTGAAGATGTGGGCAGGAGCCACATTACCTAAGCCCTGCGAGCCATGTTACGAACGTCATCCCATGTACCAGATATTAGATGAATCAGGTGTTCCCAGAATAAGTCAAAGATGTAGATCAAAAGATGCATACGATGGAAGGCCATTCTGACACATGCTGCATGTGGATGAACTCGAAAACATGCTAAAGGAAATGTTAGATACCAAAGGACAAATAATGTTATGATTCCATTTATACGAGGTACCTAGAATAGTCAACTTCATAGACTGAGAGTAGAATAGTGATTCCTCGAGGCTGGGGGCAGTTACTATTTAGCGGTTACATAATTTCAATTTGAGATGATGAAACTGTTGGGGAGATGGGCTGGAGATGGGTAACAGTGAGAGTTGCACAATAATGTCAGCACACTTAATGCTATCGGAACTGTACACTCAAAAAGTCTTAACATAAAACATTTTACACGATGCATATTTTACAATTAAAAAAACAGGTTAAAATGATAACTTTATGTTATGTGTATTTTTACAATTGAAAAATATGGGGAAAAGAGATAAAGATATTGACAAAAATATTTAGGGAAATCATTCTTTTTCTTTCCTGACATTAAAATTAGGTACATCAGTTAAAAACAAACAAAAACATTTTTTATTGATTTCAGAGAGGAAGGGAGGAGTGATGGAAACATCAATGATGAGAGAATCATTGGTGGGCTTCTCCTGCAGCCTTCGCCTCTCACCAGAGATCGAGCCCACAACCTGGGCATGTGCTCCTGAGGGGAATCAAACCCCGGACTCTTCAGCCCGCAGGCCAATGTTCTATCCATTGAGCCAAACCGCCTAGGGCAGGCGAGTCATTTATTTGCTTAAGCTGATAATAACGATTTGTTTCCGTTATATAACAACGACTATCATTTACTGGAAACTAGCTCTGTGCTAGCGTTACCTTCATAGAGATGGAGAGATGCGGGCTCAGAGAGCTCAACTAACAGGCCCAAGAGCACACAGCCAGGGAGGGGGCATTTCTAGGAAACCTCGAATTGGAACTCAGCGCACGAGGTGCTTGATTATCTTGCTCTATTTTTGGACATGTCAATATTTTTCTTTAAAAAACCTCCCATGATCTGCCACGAGTGTATGTTTGGTGTTTTCTGGGTTGGGAACATGTAAAAAGCCTGAGACTATGCAGAACGAAAAGTTGAGTGTTTACTTGATTGATGATTGATTGCGGTATTACATATGTGTGTGTTCCCATATGAGGTATTACATATGTATTCCCTCCCAGTGTTTACTTTTGATTCACATAGACCAAGGGCCTTCATTGTGAATCTATAAACACACAGCCGTGAACTCCTGGGCCCAGCACCTGGGAGGGTGGAGGACGATTGCATTTCTGTCCCCGGAGAAGAAGCCTCCCGCCCGCCGCCGCTGCCTCCGCTTCCCAGGAGCCAGGCGGCGGGGAGAGCGCGCGGCTGGCGCGCAGGCGCGAGGTGGCGGCGCCGCTCCGCGCGGTGCTCCGCAGCCGGCGTTCCGGGGTCTCTCAGGGCTCCCCCTGCGCTTCCCCTCCGTCCTCCCGCACTCGGGGTCACCGCCGCCCCTTCTCCGGGCCCCTCCGTCCCTCTCGCCCCGGCCTGGCCCCGCACGGTCCCTCCCTCCCCTCTGACCCCGCGGTGCGCACCCCGCCCGCCGCCGGGGCGAAGTCCGGAGGGTGTGAACCGCGGCCTGCCTGCCCCTGGGCGGGGACGGCGGCCGTGCGGGGAGCCCCGGCGGCGGCGAGCGCGCAGTGCAGCCCGCAGCCCGCAGCCCGCAGCCCGCAGCCCGCAGCCCGCAGCCCGGCCCGCGCGCCCCCCGGAGCCGCCGCCCCCGCCGGGCCCGCCCGGCCGCCGCCGCAGCCATGGCGGAAGTCCACAGACGTCAGCATGCACGGGTTAAAGGAGAAGCCCCCGCGCCAGCCTCCACACACCGACATGCGGAGGCGCTGGGCATGGCGCCGGCCGAAACGCTGACGGTGTTCCTGAAGCTGCTGGCCGCCGGCTTCTACGGCGTGAGCTCTTTCCTCATCGTGGTGGTCAACAAGAGCGTGCTCACCAGCTACCGGTACGGCCGCGGCGCCAGGCCCGGGCGGCGGCGGCGGCGGCTGCCGGCGCTCTGGCTCCAAAGTTCAGGCTGAACAAAGTTGGCCGGGCGGCCGCGGGGGAGGGCGGGCGGGCGGGCGGGCGGCGCGGACACGCGGCCCGGGCGGCCAGGGCCGGGGGCCCGCGCCGGCTCCCGGCTCCCGGCTCCCGGCTCCCGGCTCCCGGCTCCCGGCTCCCGGCTCCCGGCTCCGCACGGCCGGGCGCGCGTTCGGGGAGCGCCCGCCCGCCGCGCCCTGCAAAGCCTGCCCCTCCGGGCGCTCCGGAGCGAAGTTGTTAGGTGACCTGTTGGTCCCTGTGCATGCCGTGCTGGGAGCAGAGCGGGGATGTCCTCCCGCCAGCGCTGCCGGGCTGGGGCTGGGGCTGGGGGCTGGGGCATCAGGGTCCCCGAATTCGCTGACAGCCTCTGGGGACGCGCGCGTCCTCAAGCCCATTTGTAAAGAGCCCGGTGCTGTCACTGGACCCTGAGGCAGCAGCATGTCTGCTTGCAAGGTGTGAAACCATTGCAGAGACCCATGTCTTCATTTCCTTAAAAAAAAAAAAAAAAAAAAAATCCGTTGCAAGCAGCCGACTGCGATTGTAAAATCAGAGATGAGGCAAGTGGCCGCCTGAAGGTACAAAATCCACGGTGTTGCCTGACCGACCCCACGCAGGGATTTTTCTCTCACCGGTTTTCATTTGGATCGGAGGCGGACACGGGTGTGCTTTGGTACCAGGATGCATTTTAAGGTCGGCTGCGCGCCAACTGCATTCACAGAGCTACCTTCGGGTTTTTCTGACCCTGTCTTGTTTTTCTCTCTCTACCGTGTTGTAGATTTCCCTCCTCACTATGTGTTGGACTTGGCCAGGTGAGTTGGAAGCTTCAGCGTTACGTGGTTTAGGTCGTTAGAACTTCTCTGTGTGGCTTTATGTGTGGAACAGTGAATCTGTGTTCTCTGTTTACAGATGGTGGCTACAGTGGCAGTTCTCTGGGTGGGAAAGGCGCTCAGAGTAGTCAAGTTTCCTGACTTTGACAGTAATGTACCTCGAAAGGTAAAAAAATAAATAAAGTAATTCTTTATTTTCTGAAAAGAAGTCACTATATATTATATGTTATATATTACATGTAATATATTATATGTTACATATATATCATATATTACATATCATATATTGTATATATTAGTGTAAATATATATTAATCAGTTGCCTTGCATATTTAAAAATTGTCACCCAATCCAGAGTGGGTATAATAAAAGTAAAGAATAAATGTTGTAATAGGTACTTTTATTTATTATAATTTTTTATCCTTATCCAAGGTTATTTTTTCCATTGATTTTTAGAGTGGAAGGGAAAGGAAGAAACAGAGAGAAACACCAATATGAGAGAGACATATCGATTGGTTGCCTCCCACATGCCCCTGACCAGAATCGAACCCGGGACCCTTTAGTCCGTTAGTCCGAAGGCCAAAAGCTCTATCCACTGAGCCAAACTGGGTATTTTTAAAAAAAAATTCTATAGTCTCTTAAAATTAAGAAAAAAAGGCCCCAGAAATCATGTGTTCTGTTTAACTTACTAGTAATGAACACTTTCTTTTTAAATACAACCATTTTGCATTTTCTGCATCTAATCTAGCCAATGTATTGTTTATTTATTCTTCAGGTTTATTTTCTTATTCTGTCTGCATCTGCTTGCTCCACTTGAAGATGAAGTGCATTTTTTTTTCCTGCTGACCTTAGAGCTGTGGGCTAATACAGTATCATATTTTAAAATAAACAATATATTTATCCCACATGTTTGATTATACTCATATTTGTCGGTCCTACTCCCCCCTCCCCTCCCCTCCCTCTATGCCTCTCTCTTTCTGCCATGGTAGTGCTGTTTATCCAGGAATAATGTTGTTTGAGCACTATGTGGGGGCCAAAATTGTGTGTGAGAACTAATCTTGTGTTTTTAAAGGGAAAGAATTTAATCATATAAACAAAACTGATTCTGTTTGAAAGGCCCTGTGTTAGCTATCTTTATTATTGAGTTTTGTTATCCCTTTTTAAATTTTCTAGACGTTTCCACTACCTCTACTATATTTTGGGAACCAAATCACGGGACTGTTCAGCACAAAGAAACTGAAGTATGGATACTTTATCTTACTAGTGAGGTTATCTAATGTATTCTTAAAATTGTATTTGAATGTCAAATATTTAACACATTATTATTGATGCTGAAAGAAATGAAAGGACCAGAAAGCTTGTGCTACTAAATAATGAAGATTATACTAAGGGTTTTAGTTTAAGCTCTTTTAAGTTTAAAGAGAAAGAGGGTTTTTATTTGTTTGGGGTTTTTATCACTCAGTTTGATGATAGAAGTCTTGCAGTGTCATAAAATGCTGTGATAGAGGATTTACGTTATTTTTCCAGATGTATAGTAGTGAAGGATATATGCTTTGCTTTTGGGATTTCAATTACTTAATTCAATTTATGGATATTATGTTTTTGACAAATTTTACAAGCAAAATCAGAGGGTGGGTAGGAGAACTTTCGTAGTGCTTCTTTTAACATGTTAAAATAACACCAGATGGAACCCTGATGTAAACATGATTAATAGTTTCCTCGTGGCTATCTACCTGTAGGGCAGCCTTTTCACTTTCGGAAAGAAGTGATAGCTCTCCACTCTATGACAATACTGTCTTATTATCCTTCAACTTCCCCATTCTTGGCGTCCATACTTATGGAGTATAGTATGTATTGAGTGTATGTGATGTTAAAATTATACACACAAGGAAACCATTTAACAGAAATCCATGTTTTCACCACTTTCACATGAGCTAAACCCTGGCATACTTGCTGGATGGGTATAAACCAGAATGGGGAGATCTCTGAGGGTCAGGGACCAATTGTTTTTCATTTCTTCTTTAGACCCAAGAAACTTTACAGAAGGACCATGATGGTATCTCTGGAGAGTGTTTCATGGAAGTCAAATTTGTCATAGGCGGGCATCCTTTTCCATCTCAGTACCCACTTGGAAAGAAATGCAGGCCTGCTGGAAAGGCTGTTAATAGCGTTTGCTCTTTTTCATCCTTGCCATCCATCCATTCAGCCACACCCTGACTGTGATTGCCAGCTCAATATAAGGCACTTTGCAGTGAGATGAGATATATTCATAAGTCACTGTATTCCAAGAGGCTGTTTGATCAATGCATGTATAATACTCTGGGAATTTGGAGGAAGACAAAAATTACTTCCACAAAAGGACAATTAAGGAATGTCTAATGGAGTAAGCTTATGGTAGATGTTATTAGGAGGGTTGGAGTGGGAAGGGAGGTCAGTAAAGAAAGGAGAGAAAAATAAATAAATTCTTAAACTTTATTTTACCTAATTATCTTTTTTTTTCCCCCCCCAGCTTGCCAATGTTTACAGTTCTGAGGAGGTTCTCCATCCTGTTTACAATGATTGCTGAAGCAGTGTTACTAAAGTGAGCTACATTTCTAATACATTTAGTCTTTAACAAACTGTAGTCACTTTGAAAAGGTACCCAGCATAGTGATTGTTTAATAAAAATATTAAAATTATTTGCCTTGCTTCTACTTTATCTCTTGGAAAGTTTAAGCAACTTAATCCCTTTGCTCTGGGAATTGATAGTGTATGGGAACAGTAGTTGGGAGGATTATGAAAAGGAGTTAGAAACCTGTCTAAACATGAGATACACTTTTATGAATTCCTATACTAACTGCTGCTACTGGGGGAAGAGGAGTCAGAAACATCAGTATAATTTTGTGCTTTATTTAAATCCCTACTCAAGGACATGTTTTTATTGATTTTTAGAGAGATAGGAAGGGGGAGAGAGAGAAACATTGATCAGTTGTCTCCCGTATGCACCCCAACGGGGCATCAAACCTGCAACCTAGATATGTGACCTGATGAGGAATCGAACCAACAACCTTTTGGAGTACGAGACTATGTTCCAACCAACAGCCACCTGGCCAGGGTAGAATAGGACTTAAATAGTGTTCCTGTCTTAGCTATTTTCACTACAAATGTGTGTGACCTTTTTCTACTTTAAGAGATTCCAATTTATTGAAATACAAGCTCAATAAAAACAAACGATAAGAGTAAGGGAAAAAATGAGTATATAACAAAATAAGTTTTTGCTTTATCAAAAGGGTTCTTTTAAATATCTAATTCATTGGAAACATAAAAAATATGACTGTCTAGCCAAAACCGGTTTGGCTCAGTGGATAGAGTGTCGGTTTGCGGACCGAAAGGTCCTAGGTTCGATTCCGGTCAAGGGCATGTACAAGGGCACATCCCCAGTAGGGGGTGTGCAGGAGGCAGCTGGTCGATGTTTCTCTCTCATTGATGTTTCTAGCTCTCTATCCCTCTCCCTTCCTCTCAGTAAAAAATCAATAAAATATATTTTTTAAAAATATGACTATAGCTTTTTTCAAATACATATCTTTTTGTGTGTATGCCTGTGTTATGAATCTTTGTGAATAAAGCCACATTATACATAAATTTTTTTGTTTTTTTGTAGGAAGACCTTTTCTTGGAGTATTAAGATGACTGTATTTGCAATGATTATTGGAGCCTTTGTAGCTGCCAGGTAAGATGTGGGCTTATATAAGCCTATAAGCACATTAGAAATTATCAGTAGTTATTAATAATAATCAATTACCAATGAAGATAATTTTTATAGGCTCCCTAAGAATCATATCTTTGAAAAGCATCCAAAGACCCTTAAAAAATTAAATCTTTTTGAGTTTATTCAGATCAAGGCTGGTAAAATCAGATTCTTAAAAGTTAAATTCATGTAATTTAGGATGTATTATACAATCTTCTACTGATTGAGCACCTACCATAAGCCATACAATATGTTTGACATTTTAGACATATTTCTTCTATATTACAACTCTCAAAGGTATGGATATAATTTTTCTATTTTATAGTTGAGGAAACTAAAACATAAATTCAATAACTTATTCAAAGTCCTATAGCTGGTAAGCAGCAGAGCTTTCTGGAATTTGAATCTTTGCCAACTCCACAGCCTACGTGCTTTTATAAACCATGTGGCATTTTGTTTGTTTGTTTGTTTGTTTTTTACTTTGTATACTGCTGAAGGAAACAGTGTCTCAGAAAAGGCAAATGATAATGAATTATTTGCCTCATCGAATAATGAATAATAGAATTGCTTTATTGGGCTTCACGATGTATCACAAATGGCATAACTTATTCTAAATTATTAAAGCTTTTTCCATTGTTCTTAAGTTTTAGTTTTCAGATGGTTGGAGAAAATGTATATCCAAAGACTCAGAAAATTAAAACGATGGTCCAAAACCTTCTACAACAGGAATCTCTTTAAGTAGAAAAAGGTCACACACATTTATAGTGAAAGTAGCCGACACTAATTTTACTCAGCCCAGCGCTTGCATATATGGGTTTGCTAATGTCACAGATTCTGCCTGATGTACATTTTTCATTTGGGAGTTATAATGTACCTCTTAAATTGGCTCATTTACCTTCATCTTTTCCCTGTGGTATAGACAGGGAGGGGGTAGGAATATAAGTCAAATTTTATTCCACCCTAAATCTCCAAGTGAAATTTCATTGTAAAAAAAAAAAGTGGGGGGGTAGAATAATTGGTTACTAGAATTTCATTATGTAGCTAACTGCTTTTCTCTCTACATATTATTGCCTCCTTGGATAAAAATTCTGTATGAGCACCTACCTTTCTTTTTGAAGCATTTCCTCGGAGCTGGTGGGATCCAAAATTGAGCCACATGATAGGGGTTCCTCAGGGCTAACATCTGGCCTGCAAGATTTCTGAGGAGGATTGCTGTCTGGACCAGCCTTGTCTATATAGGACATTCTACTTGGGAAAGAGGTTATGAGGAAGGGAGTCTGAGCTTAGGGGGTGTCCAGACTGCTTGAAAGGGGGTGTGTGCATTAGGCTGGTTCTGTCTCACATTGCAGTGGTGGAAAGCTCCTCAGAAGTCCTGTTCCATGTAGCAGCATAGGAGTAATAGTCGTAGTAGTAGTTTAGATACAAATACATAGTATCTTTGCAAAATCATAAATGTGGTCCACTATTTAGCGAGGGTCCTAAAATATGAAGGCATACTTTTCTTAGATTTTCATTTGTTTGTTGAATTTAATAAATTTTTTTTTATCGCTATTAAGTACTAGAAAACTTCTGTTTTCCTCATGCCACTAGTATATACCACATAGGTGCATTAAGCAATTATTGCAGTATTTGAATTCCTTCTGTGTGCTTTTGGGCACTGTGGTAGCTTGATCTCAGAGCTAACCATGATCCACACTTCAGAAATTCCACCTCGGGGTCCAACCACCTGTGCAAGATAGTCCTGCCTTTTGCGTGAACTTTTGGAAAATGACATATTAACAGCTCATCTGTTTGGTTTCCTTACCTATGAAATTCAGCTCTGATGCCTTCTGCCCGCTTCAGCTGTAACAGTGAATTTGGTTGCTAATTGTTGTCTGACTTGGAATTCAGAACAGTGTGCTATTTAACTGACATGATTGTTCCTGATAATTTTAAGTGTTATTGTTTCTCCTTTCTGAAGACTACTTACTATGAAGTTGCAATATATAACTAGAAATCAAGAAATAAAATACCTACTGTTCATTGACCTAAAAATACGTTGTTGAAAATACTCTATTCACTCCTACTTAAAAGGATGTGCTCCTTAAATGAAAGTTGTTAAAGTGCTGCTTATGTTTTGCAGCTCTGACTTGGCATTTGATCTGGAAGGATATGTTTTTATTCTGATCAACGATGTCCTGACAGCAGCAAATGGCGCATACGTAAAACAAAAATTAGATTCAAAGGTAGGTAGCAAATCTAACGTTTCTGTAAGATGATGTTTATTGATCTTGGGAATGATAATGCCAATTCATCAGAGAAGAAGCAGGGAGTAAAGAAAAATGTTTAGGAGGAGTGGGAAAGAAATAGGGGGTTCTCTGAGGGTAGAGAAAAGTGTCATAAATGATCATGGCTGTTTTCATGGTGAGGGACCTGAACAAGAAAGAAATACCTGGAAGCCCGTGAGCAGATTTGAGGAGAAGTGAGTGTTGGCAGGAGCTGCAGAAAAAGAATGGACTTTGCGCATTACAAACAATGGGAACCTTTCCGGAGAATTGGTATCTTTCTCTCTCTGGGGCAACACCAAGTTCCCTGGCTCAGATCTCATGCACATGAACTTTTTTACCCATCTCTTTTCTCTCAGTTTGCAACATGCACACAAAGGCTTTATAGATATTTGTTGTTAGTTTATGTATATGCTTTGCATATAGACACGCTAAATTTTATTTTTAGATAAAGTCAAATCATCAGGAAGCTGAGTATTTGAGCCATATTAGTTTACTCCATTATGGTGTAAGGTTACATTATTATTACATATCATAGGGTTGTTATTGAAAGGGTTGTCCTTCCTGTCATAATGTGTCCTGTATGGGGACCCACATGAGATATTTATCATAGATGTCACCACAGCTCTTCCTGAATAGCTGGTTTATTTTATCTCATTGTAACTGACTATGGCTTTATCTTATTTTCCTACCCGTGTTTTCTCTTCAGTTAGATAGTCTTATCTGCTTAGTTTGTTCAGTATTTCTGAAATGACTTTCAGGTCCTTTTTTGGAGTTCAGATCATAAATACCAATGCCCTTCCTAATACTAATAGTATTAATATTGAGTTTGCATCATTTTGGTGAGAAGCTTTACCTTCTCCAGAAAATGACCCTAAAACCCCATGGCCATCCCAATAGTTCTCATTTTCAGAGAATGTTGACTTTTAATATCCTTGAAGAACTGGGGACAGTGTAGATGTTTCCAAACCTTTTATGTCTTGTTCTCCGTGTACTTGCCTTTACAACTTCATGGGATCATTGCATTTTAATGGAAGCGACTATTAACGTTTTTGACTTTCTGAAGTAGTTAAAGAAAAGGGACCAGTTAGAGATTTAGTTTTATTCTGTGTTTTTGTCTTGTTTGTTTTTCTTTTTTTCCTTCAGCCCATTTGCTGCTTTGAAATATAGGTATGAATAACTTTTCATTTGTTCAGCAGCCCCAGCTCTTTCAGTATTTCTGCTGTCCAGTAATGGTAGGCACTAGCCATATGTGGCCGTTGAACACTCGCTATATGACTGGTAAAACTGAGAAACTGAATTAGTAGTTTGATGTGTAAATTAAAATACCTTATTGTACAGCACAGTCTAGAGCTGGGATGAGGAACCTTTTTTCTGCGAGGGTCCATTTGGATATTTATAACATCATTTGCGGACCATACAAAATTATCAGTTTAAAAATTAGCCTGCTATATTTGGTCAAACATTTAATTAACTCACCCCTAATACTTTGGCAGGGCCAGACCAAATGATTTCCTGGGCCTTATACGGCCTGTGGGCCAGACATTCCCCACCCTTGGCCTAGAGTACTATATATCCTAGAACCTAGAAAAAAGTAAAGAGTGTTTCTGAGTATTTTATTCCCAAGAGATCCCTTTTGTTCCTTACTCAGAAATGACTTATGACTTCTTTGTATGAGACCTTTTAAGCACATTGATCTGTTTTTCATAGTTAATGGATTAGAAGCAACAAACTCCACATGGAATTCTATTTAGAGGCAGAGAGGCTTACCGGCAGTCTGAAAGGTCAGCTAACAATAAGAAAGACAAGCAGGAAAACTATAAAAGTCAGATGGAAGCCCTGGCTTGTTTGGCTCAGGGGATAGAGTGTCGGCCTGCAGACTGAAGGGTCTCAGGTATGACCCTGGTCAAGGGCACATACCTCGTTTGCAGTCTCAATCCCCAGTCCTAATGGGCATGTGCAGGAGGCAATCAATGATGTGCCTCTCTCACATCGATATTTCTCTCTGTCTTCCCCCAACCCCCTCCACTCTCAACATGAATGGAAAACATCAGATGGATGTACTCATAAATGACTTAGGGGCCATTAAACACCCTTAAAGGCAACATCATATAAGAACAAAGTACAGCCCTGGCTGATGTGACTCAGTTGGTTGGAGCGTTGTCCTGTACACTAAAAGGTAGCAGCAGGCTCGATACCCAGTCAGGGCACACATCCAGATTGCGTTCTGGATTCCTGTTGGGGATGTGTGCTGGAGGCAACCCATCAATGTTTCTCACCTTGATATTTCTCTCTCTCCCCCCTCCCATAACAACACAATGCCCTGACTTTAATAATGTTTATAATGCCCTGACTGAAATTTTAGTCTATGTGCTCCCTTTAAGAAGGCAGAGGAAGAGATGCTCCAAACAGTTAAAATGTTAAAAGAAAAACAAAACAGTTTGGCATTTTAATTTTTGGCAATTGTCAGTTGCCTGGATAGGTGTGTTTTGTGTGGTGTGCAGGCATCCTCTTTAAGAGAGGGGTAATACGTAAGTCTCTGGCTGACTGGGTGCCTGCTGTTTCAGATTGTTTTGTCCTATGGCTTTTTTCTTGCTACCTTAGAAATGAGGTACTTCTTTCCCTGATGCTTGTGGTGGCCATACGCAGTCAGTTTTTTGGTTTATCCAAGAGGCAGTATAGCCAGACTGAGAAGCTTTTAATAAAAAGGACTGCTTATAATCATGGTCCTTTGAGGATGAGTCATGGAGCATAAAAATTTAGGGCTGCATTTCAGACATGTATGCAGTTATTGAATTTAAAATATTTTTAACTTTAAAAAAATCACATAAATAATACTATTTATAGAAATATTCGTTTTAAAATGTTTTGTTTATTACTTTTAGAAAGAGAAAAGAAAGGAAGGGAGAGAGAAAGAGGAACATTAATTTTGTTGTTCTACTTATTTAAGAACATTCATTAGTTGATTCTTGTATGTGCCCTGACAGAGGATTGAACCACAACCTGGACATAGAAAGACGATGATCTAACCAATTGAGCTACCTGACCAGGGCAATAATACATAGTAATAGTAAAAGTTGTAGAAAACATAGACAAGCAAGAGGAAGAAAATACTCCTTAATTCTAACCTCTAGTGAGAAGCACTGTTCTAATGGATATCCTTTAGAGTGTGTGGTGTGTGTATGTGTATGTACACACTTAACTAAAATTTTTAAAGAGCTATGATACATAATATTTCCTAACCTATATTTTTCATCTAGTACTGTTTCATGAATACCTTTCAGTATTATTAAACACTAGAGGCCCGGTGCACAAAATTCGTGCATGTGGGGGGATGTCCCTCTGCCAAGCCTTCATCCTCTCCAATCAGGGATCTCTCTCACAATCCAGGACTGCTGGCTCCCAACCACTCGCCTGCCTGTCTGCCTGATTGCCCCTAACCACTCCTGCCTACCAGCCTGATCACTGCCTAACCACTCCCCTGCATAACTGCTCCCCTGCCTGCCCGACTGCCCTTAACTATCTTCCCCTGCAGGCCTGGTCATCCCTAACTGCTTTCTACTGCTGGCCTGGTCACCCCTAACTGCTCTCCCTTATCAGCTTGGTTGCCCCTAACTGCCTTCCCTTGTCTCACTTAACTGTCCTCCCCTGCTGGCTCAGTCACCCCTAACTTCCCTCCATTGCCAGCCTGGTCACCCTTAACTGTCCTTCCCTGCAGGTCTGGTGTTCCCCCCACCCCCCCGAACTGTCCTCCCCTGCTGGCCTGGTCCCCCCCAACTGTCCTCTCCTGTAGGCCTAGTCCCCCCCCCCAAAAAAAAAAAAAAACTGTCCTCCCCTACAGGCCTGATCACCCCTAACTGCCCTCCCCTGCTAGTCTGATTGCCCACAACTACTCTTCCCTGTCAGCCGTCTTGTGTCCACATGGGGGTGGCCATCTTTGACCACATAGGGTGGCCATTTATGTGCTGGAGTGATGGTCAATTTGCATATTACCTCTTTATTATATAGGACTAGAGGCCCAGTAAATGGAATTTGTGCATTGGGGGGGAGGGTCCCTAAGCCTGGCCTGTACCCGCTCCAATCTGGGATCTTCTCCCAATCCAGAACCACTGGTTCCTAACTGCTCACCTGCCTGCCTGCCTGATTGTCCCTAACTGCTCCCCTGCTGGCTCTTCCCTGACAGCCTGATGCCCCTAACTGCCTAACTGCCCTCCCCTCTTGGCCTGATCCCACTAACTGCTCTCCCTTCCTGATCCTCCTGTTACCGTCTCCCTTCTCCTTTCTCCCTCAGCGTCGCCTTCTCCCTTCTGCCTTCTCCTGTGGTGACTTCTCCCATGGCCTCTGCTAAAGGGACCATGGTGCTGTACTGGCCCTCACAGCCGTCACAGCTGCTGGCCCTCAACCATTGCAGTTGCTATGACTTTGTCTGGAAGGACATCTGGAAGGATGTCTGGAAGATATATAGTCTAATTAACATAATACCTTTTTTTTAAAAAAAATATGTTTTATTGATTTTGTACAGAGAGGAAGGGAGAGAGATAGAGAGTTAGAAACATCAATGAGAGAGAGTCATCGATCAGCCGCCTTTGCACACCCCCTACTGGGGATATGCCCGCAACCAAGGTACATGCCCTTGACCAGAATCGAACCCGGGACTCTTCAGTCCATAAGCCGATGCTCTATCCATTGAGCCAAACCGGTTTTGGCAACATAATACCTTTTATTAATATAGATTTTTAGTGGCTTTATAATGTTTCATTGTAATATTGTATCATAGTCTAAACTAGTTTTCTGTTGTTGGATATTTGTTTCCAGTTTTTCACAACTTCTTTTGGAAGGTGGTTTAACTTTTTACACAATTCGGTGATCTTTCAGTTACAGAAATTAGCCAAATATGTCCTTTTCCTCACTACTACTTCACCCTCTTACCCCCCAAACTCTGGCCTACTTTTCCAGGTGACTCTGCTTCCCCATGAATGTCCCAGAAGTGTGTGAGTCAGAGGTTTCTCATAGACTCCCTGTGTTTGAAGATGTTTGGGGTCTTTCTTTGCTCCCCGGTTTCCTAGGATACAACTAGACATACTCTGTTTTGGGAAATGTAGATAGAGGGAGCTTAATTTTTTAATACTTCACATACACATTTTCAGAAAAACTTCTCTGGGAAGTTATACCTGCCTGTGTTGATGAGGTGTGAGTCTGTGTGTCTGGGTCTGACCAGCCATCTCTTATGGTTCTAAAAAGTCCAACACCAGCTTGGTGACTTCTGATTCAATTCCGGAAGGGGAAGGGCTTCGGAGATGGATTTCTGTAGGGATATGTGCATATGTTCAGTATAGCCTCTCCCCTATTGGCTGTTTTGAGGCAACAGTTGGTATCATTTTTATTTTTCTACTCTTAAACAGTCAAGGAATTTATTTTAAATAAAATTTAAAACATAAGTTGGTTTTTTTTTTTCTTTTGAAAGCTTTGACTACTTCTTAATGTTTGAAAACTTCTGACTTGGCCTAACTGGCTGTGCATATTGTGGGGAAGGTGTGTGTGTATAGTGAGGGTAGGACTTTATGTAGGGTTTTGTATATGTTGTGTGCTAGAACTAAATGAAACACCTAATTATTCCCTATCCTAGGAGCTGGGAAAATATGGCCTGCTCTATTACAATGCACTGTTCATGATTCTGCCCACCCTGGCCATTGCATATCTTACAGGAGATGCACAAAAGGTAGGACTTTCTAACAGTGGTTTAATGCCTTCTGTTTTTTAATTGTATTGTTGTTTATGAACAAAAGATAAATTGTGGAGTTGTTAAGTAATGTACTTACCTAGTATTAAGGGACCAAAATCTGAATTTACTTTTTAGCTTGCTAATGTCATGCTAACTGTAATACTTGGCATAAGTATTACATAGTGCTAAAATGGCTCAAAATAGCTCTGGCTGTCAACATAAAAATAGTGCATGCCAACCAGTGTCTTTTTCTTATGGGCCAGAAGGATGGAGAAAGGGAATTCTTACATTTCTACCAAACTACAAAATAATAGTAGCAAGCTATCCTTGAAAAACAAACAAACAAATCTTGAAATAATAGAATTCTTCAAGACTTAAAATTTTAGACCTATCTAGAAGTTTCTGTTTTGGTGTAAAATTTGTCATTCTGGCTTAAATCCCAAGCTGGCTCCCCCCCCCCCTCCCCATCCCCCCAGGAGATATTTAGCACGGTGTGGTGACTTAACCATATAAATAGCAAATAATATAATAGTTTACTCATTTCCTGCAAATGTTTAGCTAAATAAATCCAGAATAGAGGAACAAAATAAGTCCAAATAAGAATTCTTCTCTAAAACGAGCCTATATTCATAGGCAAAAAAAGTTGATACCATTTTGTTAGAATTCACAAAATTTTGCAAACTACGTAAATGGAAATCTAGAATTCTGCCAAGGATTTCTGTACCAAGATTCCTTCTAATGATCCCTCTCCCTGACGGGGTAGGTTTTCAGAATAAATGTGTTGGTTATGTAATCCAGTAGCAGTGACAATTTCCACAAAGAGGTGGCAAGCTGTTCGTCTGTTAAAAAATTGCTCTTGAATTAAAAGGTAGGAGAAGACTGACTGTTTTTAAAGCTGTTTGGGGTTTCCCCCCTCTACCCCCCCCCCCCATCAAGAACTTTCTTAAAACAAACAAACAGACGAACAAACAAACAAACAAACAAACCTGGCACAGATCAGCTTGAACATGCGTAAAGGTTTAATGCACTGTGTAACCGGGCTGCTAGCGGGCCTACAAATGACACCAAAGTAGAAAACGGAGCTATTGCTTTGACTGATCAAGAGTGCTGAAATAAATATTTTGTGGCTGTGGAAAAAAGTGGGAAGAGAAACCAACATTTATTAGCCCCTGTTAGGTGCCAGTCACTTTATGTGTGTGATACGATGTAACCCATAACAGCTCTGTTGCCCATGTGGAAATGAAGTTCAGAGAGACTAAGTAACTAGCTCAGTGTCATACTGTCTGTGGGTAGTACAATTAGGATTTAAACTCAAGCTTGACTCCAAAGGCCCTGGTCTTTCCGCAGGGTTCTGTCTTTCTCTAGCAGACTTTGGCTGAAGCAGCCCTCTCTCTTTAGCTTTGGGGCAAGAATGTGATGCAGAAGAACCAGGCCCTCCTTGGCAACGCAGATGATTGCAGATCTCGAGGCCAATCTGTACATGAGAGAGTTGGAAGGAGTAATGTGGTTGGTTAGGTTATTCTACATACTTGGCAAAGGTGGAATTTTCATTAACTTGAAATTCTGACTAGTAGCTACTTGAAAAAATTGAACCAAAGGAGAAATATCTTCATTCCAGAGTGATTATAATTGAACTAGAAAATAATAATTCATGCATATTTCAATAACACACATTTAATATGAAATGCTTCAATATAAGTAAGAATGTTTACCCTTAGTGGAAAAACTACTTTGCCACCTGCATTAGAATGAGATTTAGATTTTTCTCATTTTCTTTTTTCTAGGCAGAGGAGTGAAATTTTAGTAATGTTTGTTTTTCCCCAATGAAAATGCCAGGCAAAGGACAAAAAAGGTTTATTTTGGAGGAATAATGGTTCATCTAAATACTTTGAAATTGGGCTGATAAATTAATTATGGGAACTGAACTCATTACTTTATAATCAAACCCCACCAGTATTTTGATCTCACATATTTGTTCATTCTCACTCTTATTATTAAAGGGTACTAGGGGCCCAGTGCATGAATTCATGCACTGTGAGAACTGTGGGCTGTGGTGGGAACAGGTAGGTCCCATCACTCCCATATGCAGGCCCCACTCGCACCCGCTGACAGTACCACGTGATTGGGGCCAGTGTCAGCAGCAGGTGTGAGTGGGTCCGGTGCCATCAATGGGTGCAAGTGGCAGCTGCTGCCCTGATGGCCCCTCAGGAGAAAGGGGAGGTGGAGAAGCCCTCAGGGGTGATGGGGCCGGCAGCCACCGCTCACACCAGCTGATGGCACCAAGTGATTGGGACCACTCTGAGTGACAACAATGGGTGCGAGCAGTGGCTCCAGCTGCAGGTGTGAGCAGGGCCGGCACCGGCAGCAGGTGTGAGCACCAAGCGGGACCGCAATGCGTGGGGGCAAAGAATTTTCAGTAACCACGAGAGGCTTGCCCTGATCACAGCGACTGGCCCCCCACCTTGGTCTGGCGCCCCGCCCTCCCCCCCCCCACCTGCTTCACCATCCCGCCTGCTGCTGATGCTCACCATGTTCTGTGTGTATCCCCTGGTGGTCAACGCACGTCATAGTGACTGGTTGTTTGGTTGTTCTGATGTTCGGTCTATTTGTATATTAGGATTTTATATATATAGGTTGTTGTTCTTGTATCACTTTTATTGAGGTATAGATAGACATGCTAGCTGATAACCTTACCATCTCATGATCTTTTTCTTATCTCTCTCCTTAATCTGTTCTCTCTCTAACATTCTCAAATAGTTAAGTGCTGATGTGTGTCTCACAGTGTTAGGCTCAGGTGATAAAAAAAAAAAAAAAAGAAGATGAGTTAGGTGGTATTGGCTTCGAGGACCATCAGTCATTTTGTGGAGCATATCTGTCATCATCAGAGCAATAAACTATTATATTTTGTGGAAGAAATGCTTTGGGTGCACTATAGCGTGTAAAATGGAAGAGGATCAAGTCTCTCTCCTTGTTGGGGTTGGAATGCCTCAGGGAGCTTTCCTGTGCACAAAATTAAAATATCAGTGATATGAATTATCAGTGTTGTTTTCATAGGCTATTAGGCTATGAATTAAATTTGAAACTTAGGAATTGAGAAACTAAGTTTGATTCTGTTCTTAAATTCCTGAGGTAAGTCAGTTCAATGTTATTTTAAGTTCAATTCAGATTAGTATTTCTGAGGATTTTTCTTTTGCTAAGAAAGCTCTGTGCTAAATTCTCTTGGGAATATATGAGAAATATAGCATAGTTCTTGCCACAGCAGGAAAACACAGAGATGGTGTAAGAAATAGCACCAAAGTACATAACCATCAGTCAGTGCTGTAAGTATAGGGTAGGAAGAAATGTAAGTGGGCTGAATCTCAAGATTAGTTTTTTTTTTTTAATATATATTTTATTGATTTTAGAAAGGAAGGGAGAGAGAGAGAGAGATAGAAACATCAATGATGAGAGAGAACCATTGATCGGCTGCCTCCTGCACGCCCCCTACTGGGAATTGAGCCCACAGCCCAGGCTTCTGCCCTTGGCTGGAATCAAACCTGGGACCCTTCAGTCCACAAGCCAGTGCTCTATCCATTGAGCCAAACCAGCTGGAGTTCAAGATTAGCTTTTTTATTTTTTATTTTATTGATTATTTTTTTTTTACAGAGATGAAGGGAGAGGGATAGAGAGTTAGAAACATCAATGAAAGAGAAACATCGATCAGGTGCCTCCTGCACACTCCCTACTGGGGATGTGCCCGCAACCAAGGTACATGCCCTTGACCGGAATTGAACCTGGTACCTTTCAGTCCACAGGCCAACACTCTATTCACTGAGCCAAACCGGTTTTGGCAAGATTAGCTTTTTAATCCTCTTCCATTTTATACCCCACAATGCAGCCAAAACATTTCTTCCACAAAACCTATCAGTTTATTGCTCTGATGGTGACAGGTCTGCTCCACAAGGTGACTCCATGTCCCTCAAAGGCAAGAAGACCACCTAAGTCATCTTTCTTTCTTATCACCTGAGCCTAATACTGTGAAGGGCACAAGAGCACTTAACTAAAGGAGACAGGGCTTGGCTTTCTTATCTACCAACTGAAACAAGTAATGCTCACCTGTGGTAGGGATGGTTGTTGAGACATAACTTAGAGAGGTGGATAAGTGGTTTGTTTGTATTAACCAGCACAGAAACAATGGGTGGAAGCCATAGGCAGCCTACTGTATCCAAGATGCTCATAGAAGCCTATAGGAGTTGCAGTGTATTTCTCCCACTGGAAAATTCAGTCTCAGAGTGGTCAGTTGAAGTCTGGTAACGAGTTCCCATGTCAGAGTTTTCTAGTAAGTCAGGTTCATTTTTAGCGCATGTCTTTTAGACCTGTGCTTTTTCTCCAAAGTACGTATACCTGTAAGTGGACATTCATGTAGGTGCATGTATTTTTTAAAGAATGGGTGCTTTTTCATGTGACAGTGTATCTTTAACTAAAGCTGTTCCCAAGTTAACAATCTGGGCCTCCTTCTGGCCTTATAGGGTATGAGGCCTTGTACCTGATAAGATGCTCCCACATAAATTACTTTCCCTGACCTCATTGTATGCCTGTGAGGTAGGTCATTATCTGATTTGCAGAGGTTAAGGGCATGCTTAAGGTTGCACAGTGTCAGATCTTAGAGCCTGCCTGTCTGACTCCACATCGATCCCTTGCTGTTTGCTTGACTACATCTGTGCTCTCTTCCCGACTAGGGCTTTCTTCCAGAACAAGCTACTGAATGTGAAAAACACCCCAGGGTAGTATTAGAAGTGAAGTCTCTGAAGCTGGGCCTTGTTGTTACTTAATTGTTTACAAATAATCATATTTCTTTTCATTCACTCTGATGCTAAGAAAAGAAAAAGAAAGAAAGAAAGAAAGAAAGAAAGAAAGAAAGAAAGAAAGAAAGAAAGAAAGAAAGAAAGAAAGAAAGAAAAGAAAGAAAGAAAGAGACATGTTGCTGCCTTAAGGAGCCTGCATTCCAGTGGCATGAG